CCAGTGGTTTTCTCAGTATTCCCTGCCTGGTGGCACTTACGCAGGTGCCCTCTCACAATAGCCCCTGCTCCAGCAGGGTCCTGGATCCAACGGGATCCGAAAAGTCAAGGTCGAATTCCCACTGACCCACTAGCCTCTGGCTGGTCTGCAGAGTCCACAGAAGCCAGCTGGCTGGCTCGTTTTGGGCAGTTGGTGTAGCCCAAAAGAACTCGGCCGAATTCCCTACCAGTGGGCATGCTCTTAGATGCTCTCCCGGGTCATCAGCAATGCCCCGGTAAACACAGCCAAGATCCTACCAACCTTTCTCCTGCCAGGTTAGTTCCACAACACCTCGGCTGATAGCTCCGGGTGCCAGCTGGATCCACAGTGGTGCCCTGAGGTCACAGGGTTGTGGTGGGGGCTGTTGTGCGTGGTTGTGGAGCTGTAAAGGGGGCAGGGAAAGGGGAGCAAAGGAAGGGACTAGGGGGCCAAAGGATCCCAGGGCCTGGACACTACCGCCAAGAGGTAGGGGCAGGGGCTTTGGCGCTGCTGGGGGTTTATGCAGTAGCACCCTGTGTGTTGGGGGTCACACAGGCACGGGCTGCAGGGGCGTCACACAGCGGCGGGTAGTCTTTGCTCCTCTGGTGTCATGGTGTTTGCTCTTCTGGAGTTCCACGGTGGCTGGCCGACTGTTGCTCTTTCTGGGTCTCTTACCAGCCTGGCTGGCGGCGTAGTTCCAGCTGGCGGTGGAGTTCCGGCTGGCAGCGGAGTTCATGTATTGATATTATATCCTGCTACTTTGCTGAATTGGTCAACTATTTCCAATAGTTTTCTTGCTGAGTCTTTAGGATTTTCTAAGTATAGTATCATATCATCTGCATGGAGAGATAATTTTACCTCCTCTTTGCCAATTTGGATACCTCTTATTTCCTTCTCTTGCCTTATTGCTATTGATGAGACTTCCAAAACCATATTGAATAGGAGAGTTGATAGTGGGCATCCTTGCCTAGTTCCTGTTCTCAACGGGAATGCCTTTAATCTGTCCCCATCAAGAATAATCTTTGCCTTGCATTTGCATATATACTTTTTACTATGTTAGGGAAATTCCCCTCTAATCAGATTCTGCTGAGTGTTTTAGTCAGGAAAGAGTGTTGGATTTTGTCAAAGGCCTGTTCTGTATCAAATGGTAGGATCATGTGTTTTTTGTTCTTTGCTTTGTTAATGTGATGAATTACATTGATTGTTTTCCTTATCTTGAACCATCCTTATATACCTGTTATGAATCCCACTTGGTCGTCGTGGATTAGTTTTTTGATGTATCATTGGATTCTATTGGCCAGGATTTTATTCCGGATTTTTGTATCTATGTTCAAGAGAGATATTGGCCTATAGTTTTCTATTTTGGTAGTGTATTTACCTGACTTTGGTCTCAAGGATATGTTTGCTTCATAGAATGAGTCTGGGAGAATTCCATCTGTTTCTACTTTCTGAAATAATTTATGTAGAGTTGATGACAG